ACTAAGAATGTGTGCTAGACATTTTTCCCCGTCAGAATGTCTTACACATTTATAAGTCTACCATTACATCTATTCTGGTGCTTCTGTCATGTATTTATTTGAACGATGTTTACTGCACAGTTATGTTGAAAGATGAGCGGAATGTCCGTTTCAGTGGTCGGTCGTTAGGATGGCGGTCGGGTGTAAAGGTAGTACCGGGATTTGACCTAAATCTTATGTGAGCTTGGTGTGAGGTCACAAGATATGGTCGGTACATGATGGTTCTGTTCTATGGAACGGGGTGACGTCGGATTGGCGTGGTTTTGGTAAGCCTGTTCTTTTGAATGAGGATGCAGTGGCGACAGCGAAGGGAATGCCTTGTAAATGAGTCGAGTATGCCGAGGTGACAGCGGTGGGTTACCTAGGCGAGGTGTAGTCGGATTGGCGTCACGTTCGTGGGCCGAGTCAAAGTCGCTTCTTTGCAGAGTCGGAGTCGCTGCTTGAGGAGCCAAAGTACCTTGGTTGCGCAGTTGGAGTCACTGCTTGTGGAATCGGAGTCGCTTGGTTGAGGAGTCGGTCGCTTGGTTGAGGAGTCGGAGTCGCTGCTTGAGGAGCCAAAGTACCTTGGTTGCGCAGTTGGAGTCGCTGCTTGTGGAATGGAGTCGCTGCTTGAGGGCCAGTACCTTGGTTACGCAGTTGGAGTCACTGCTTGTGGAGTCGGAGTCGCTTGGTTGAGGAGTCGGTCGCTTGGTTGAGGAGTCGGAGTCGCTGCTTGAGGAGCCAAAGTACCTTGGTTGCGCAGTTGGAGTCGCTGCTTGTGGAATCGGAGTCGCTGCTTGAGGAGCCAAAGTACCTTGGTTACGCAGTTGGAGTCACTGCTTGTGGAGTCGGAGTCGCTTGGTTGAGGAATCGGAGTCGCTGCTTGCGGAGTCGGAGTAGCTGCTTGTGGAATCAGAGTCGCTTGTTTGTGAAGTTGGATTTGCCGAGGTGACGGCGATGGCGACGAGGAAGGCTTGTTACTTGATAGTGTCAACGTTGAAATGTTTTCATCTAAGCTGGATAGTCAAGGTGGTTAGTCAAGCCTGGAAATGTTAACGGTCGTTGATAGGTGCGTCATATTGAATGGTGGCGGTGAAGGTGGCGGCAGCATTCGCGCTCTGCGTCTCGGCCGGTGGCCAGCCGGGCTGCAATTGACTTTTAAGCAGGTCTGGTAGTCCCCGGGGGTATCTCTTTTTCCGGCGGGAACGTTCGCGATTGGCCATTGCCCGAGCTCGCTTCGTAGACGTGATGCGTGGAGCTTAATGCGCAGTAAACGACTTTTGATATTTCGTTCTCTGCCTTCGTGACGTTTATATTTGGCCAGCATGCAGAATGAATCAGAAAGATATCCAACTGCAACGGAGTATAACATTGATAAAATACAAAAGAGAATCTGCAATGTTATTGGTACAGACCTGGTATCTAGGCTTCAGTCATTTTTCCACCAACGCTTTCCTGTGTCTTTTTCTATCAATATCTTCATAGTAATTGTTATGATGTAGTTTCCTCTTTGGTAACAAGAATTTAGGCACAGTTCTTTATTAGTAGCAAGGTCTCACCCATTTACAGTTGAAATGCCTAGTTGTAACCGTAAGCTCTACTCTAACAGTTTCTTTTCTCTTTCTCTTCTCTCCTGTGGAACTCTTTGCCGGCTTCTTGCTTTCCAGTCAACTTTGATTTTCAAAAATTTAAACGCAATGCCAATCGCAATCATGTCTTTTTAATTCCTTTTTTTATTGTTCTCGCTTCTTAATAATGTTTTGTCATGTTTTCTCACATTCAGTAACCCCCCCCCCTTTTTGTGTCTTAATGGCTTTATTTCCTTGGGATGAAATGATAATATACATATATATATATATATATATATATATATATATATATATATATATTGAATTATTCACACAAAAACAAATGCAAAGGTTAATGATTTAATTGGCGAGAAATCCATCGTCGCAAACAATTCAAATAATATACAAAAACCTCCGAATCCGTTATGAATGAAAAGATCCTTGTTTCTATAAATTTCTGCCGTATTAGTCCTTATTTTTACTACAAGCTTTCGTCTGTTCCTACAGACATCTTCAGGTATGGAATAGATGTTGTTCTTGTTTTTTCTCTTAGTAATAAGAGGACAACGAAAATATATGTATTGTTGTATCCGAAAATGCTATTGGAAATGAGTTATTGTTTTTGGAGCGAGCAGTAGCAACGCTGAGTTTGATTTTAAATATATATATATATATATATATATATATATGTGTGTGTGTGTGTGTGTGTGTGTGTGTGTGTGTGTGTGTGTGTGAATGTCAGCAACTGAGTGTAGACAATATGAGGATGGCTTTCGTCTCTTTGAATAGGCGGGTGACTTTCGTAGTATGACTCAAATGGAAAGTTCGAATCTAGCCATCAGAAATATTGCTCTAAGAAGAGTTGATCTGTGGTGACTTGTACTGGGTTTCCCCTAAGAGATAGTAAAGTAAGTTTCTACTCAGAGTCACTACAGAAAATCAAAAGACCTAGGAACCCAAAGAGTTTACCTCAAATTTACCTAGTACAGAATCAGGCCTCGAAAGATATCAGTGGATGCATCGCTATAAACAAGAATGTGAAACAAGTTGAAGTTAGGCTATACATGTTCAATATAATCGAAGTTATGTAAAAGCATATACCATCGATTCGGACGTCCTTAGAAGTGAATAAACAATTATTTTACGCATGGAAAATGTTGCCTCGTATTCTCATTAAAGATTCTATTTTTACACAAGCAAGAAACTGTACCAGGTAATACGAAAAAGTTCCCGGTCGCTAGGTACTGGGATTTATACAATTCAGCGGAAATGTGCGCACAGCTAATGATCATTGGTATCAAGCCTACTGAGTCAGTCTACCAATAGGCTTCGTATTGTCTACTTGTGTTCAATTACAGTGTAACCCGGATATAAGAGACCCGGATATAAGAGAGATTTTCTCTGGTCCCAAATTAGAGCCTGTGTTAATGTATACATAGAAACCAAACCCGGATATAAGAGAAACCCGGATATAAGAGAAACCCGGATATAAGAGAAATTCGGATATAAGAGAAACCCGGATATAAGAGACTTTTTCTCCTGTCCCGACAACTCTCTTACATCCGGGTTACACTGTATTACACAAGTTTTATTACGCTGTGTTAGAACGGCTTTGCGATATTTACAAGAGCTGACATATTCAAACAACGTCCTTGCATCAGCTTTTGCGCGATGCTTGCCAAAAGGAGTGAACGTTTGGTTCACACACTTCCCCGGTATTTTGAACAGGAGTAGAGGTTTATCCTTTGTTTTCTGTTTAGGATTAGGTTTCAGGTTCCTCCTAAAATCTTCTCATTCTCTTTCACTTCAAGTATCCTCTTGCGTCTAAGTGACATTATTACCTTGCATGTGAAGAATTGATTTTTTAAAAAAATGTCTGGGATTGAACTCACAATTACTGGTGTGGCAACAGGGAATTTATTATTATTGTTGTTGTTAAAGATTCTTCAATTTGTATCATTTCAGAGTATGTCATACCTGCAGTACCCATCTGCTTTTCGACCGGTCGCCATACGACATCACCCAGTTTCTCAAATGAGATTTCCTCATCCTATGGGAGATATTGACAGCCTCGGATCCAGCGACCCAGCTCTTTATATGACCGGTGGATGTAGAGACGACAGTTACGAGCCATCAATAATCGCCGGTAGTTTCATATATCATGGCCCAGGAAATCTACCTTCGCACTTTGCACCCACTGCCAAGGAGTACGACAGAGATCTCTCCTACGATAGCTTCAAAAACGAGCATCTCTTTTCAGCTAATTCAAGAGGCGTACTAAATAGTACTACAACCACCCGTCAACTTCACTTGTAAATCTTCAGTGACTAACTCATATTTCAGGAGACATCCTTCAACAGAACTTGATCAGACATTCTTACCATAAACAAATTTGTGACGAGATTCCGACGACATTATAACATATTTTGATATAATCACTTTTTTTACACGGTTGTTCAAAATTCATTTAATAGATAGAGACTTTTATTTTTAAGAAAATATATGCTCATTTTAATCCGAAAATAATTACAAGCACACTGCACATCTACAGGCCAACTGGAAAGATAGTTCTTCTATTCTTAACGGCAATTCATTTCATTTCATTGATTCCTTTTCTACAACCTATTGCAGGTTATTTAAAGCCAGAAAATATTTTTAGAATTTAAGAATATATATATATATATTGTGTGTGTGTGTATTTAGGCAGCATTTTTTCATTCATACATGTTTCATTAAATAATATAGACAAGTGTTGTGTATTTATTTTATGTAAATTCTTTTCATAACGTCTGATAAGCTTAATAACATTATCATTAAACGAAGAAAGAAAATCACAATATTGATCCATATTTTTTAATCCAATCGCACCGCAGCTCATGACGTCACACATGACCATGTGATTAACATATGAGCTGCAGTGCGATTTTCGCTTCCAGCGTCTTATATGCACGTGTTTATCGTTGCTTCGAAATCATTCATGTAAACAATAACAGACTATCATCACTGTCTTGTCCGTATATTGCTTAATATATTGTACAGTAATTGACATCTTTGATAATGGCTTATGTAAGCCGAAAGCTTAGATTTCTTCGTTTAATGATTAATGATAATGTTATTAAGCTTATCAGACGTTATGAAAAGAATTTACATAAAATAAATACACAACACTTGTCTATATTATTTAATGAAACATATATATATATATATATATATATATATATATATATATATATAATAGTCTAGTGATACAAGACTTACTAATTAACCTATACCTGGGTGAGAAGTTGTTGATTCATACATTTCTCAAGGTTATTTGCGCGAAAGTGAATATGAGCAACCTCTCTGGAATTGAAACTCGGCTCTCCGATTAACAATTCCGAGACATTATCCTTTACACCACCCGCATATCCAAGCGTACAGCGCGTGGTATTTCCAAACGGTCACCCATCTGACCAGGCTTGACGTTGCTTAACTTCGGTGATCGTACGGGAACCGGTGTTTCAACGTGAACTTGATCAGTACCTAAATGCATAACTGTTTGGGAATACCAGGCGTTGTAAGCTTGGATGTGCGGATGGTGTAATGTATAACAGTTCAGAATTGAAAATCGGAGAGCAAAGTTCCAATTCCCGTTGGCTTCGTTACGCGCAATTACCCTTGGGTATGTATGAATCCACCTCCCACCACCACCACCGCGACAGGTTAATTTGTAAGACATGTATTACTAAACCATTGATATCGCCAAAAAAGAAAAATATTCTTACAATCTAAAAATATTTTCTGGCTTTAAATAACCTGCAAAGGATTGATAAGCCGTACAAAACGAATCACTCAATCAATCTAAAGAGTTGTTCCTTCTCTAAATTTTAGATTGACTATCATCATCCTAATTATAGATTTCATCGAACTGCTGAGACTTGAATGGCACTAACCAATGTGAGATTTACACCTAGAGTTATTCCCCCTTGCAGTCTTTAACTTAAGTCTATTAAGTATATTTCCTACTCTTAAACGTCCTAGCTACGAAACAGGAAAAATTGTTTTGTAACTTCAGTTTAAAGCATCAACTACTTAGTTAATAAGTGATTTATGCTCTTCATTCTTGCAAATTCTAAATTCAACCTACATTTATATGGTTTGAAAGAACGAGCGAAGCTTAGTACTATTCTTATAGTAAAATATTCTTCGAGCAGTTCCAGGACAATATAAAGAGGCTGTACAAATGGTGGTGGTAATGGTAATATTAGCCGTTTTCTTAGAAGGAAAAATTCGACATTCATTGACCGAGCAGCCAGTTTCGGTTGAAATTAAAGCCTTCTAGTAAAACGATTTTTAAGGAAAATAGTTTTCTCAAGTTCAATAACTGTTATCGATATTTCCAGTATTGATGGCGGTTTCTTTCCTAACATTTGTTCGGAGTAGTGTGGAACGTCAACATCTTGATTATGTCATTATTTTCTCTCCGAGTTACATGTGATATCTATTTTAATCATTGCTATTGTTAAAAGCCCTCAAGTGTTATTCGGTAAAGTTCTGTGATTCTGTAGCGCCAGTCCATGAGAGTCAGAGATAGATGGCCCTCGCTAAGAGCTACAGACTTCATTCGCTCAAAGCCATTTTAAATAATTGATCCGCGGTTATATACTACAACTGACAGTCTAGATATTTTAACGACTTTTTAATGTCATACATGGCATCCGTATGAAAGTTGTGATCTGACGAGTTTATTTCAGAACATAACTCGCGTTTTTAAATTAATGTTTTGGTTTTGTAGCAAATTGTGGTGTTGGGTGAAACTATCCCGAGCACAGCGAATGGATATTTCTACGAAGGTGAGCCGAGTATATGTATATAAATGCTTTTAAATAATAAATTTTTTTTTCGAGATCAAACAATAGTTGCTTTTGATATTCTATGTTTTGCAGCGTTAAGTATATTTTTCTCGTTATTTTATTAAATATTTAATATCTAATTTCTGTCTGCATTCCTAGGATAATGAGTTATCATTATTTACATTCAAACTAATATCTTCGCGTTTATTGTTATTATCATGCTTCATTCGTTTTGCTCTCTACCCTTCTTCCTTTGTTGAATAACAACGAATAATAGCCTAAAGCGTTGTCGTATAGATTTAGACTCCGTGGGCAAAGGTAGGTTAATAACTGGGCAGTAATATATAAGAAGACGAGATATATTTAGATATGGACGACGGAACGAGAAGAATCTACATCCATGTATTAAAGAAAGGGTTCAATTAAAAAGTTCTTGAAGGTTATCCATATCGATAGGCACCGGAAGACAGTCGGAGGACACACCAGCAGAAATGTCGTGATGATAATAACGTTGAAAACGTTTCTTCTCTCGTACTATTCGCCTGTGGAAGTCTCTTCCAATTTTTTGCGTTCCTGTCAATGAAGATCTTCATAAGCTTAAATGTAACATCAATCGTCATTTTCTTTTTTTCTGAATTCTGTTCTTTTATTCTCTTTTCTTTTCACTAACGTTTTCTCATTTTTTTTCACTCTTGGTCACCCTTTGCATCTGAGTGGCTATATCGCCTTGAAAATGCGATTAAATGATTAAAAATGGTGAAATGATTTTTAAAAACAATATAAATAATGTAACGGTGGAGTAATGGATAGCGGTACGGATTGAGGAATCGGAGAGCTGAGTTCGAATTCTAGTCAAATCCATCACATTCACTTACGTACTAATACCCTTAGGAAAGGTATGAATCCTCTTCTTCCCCCATAGCTGAGGAAGAAGAAGAGAATTGCGGTAAATAGCAGGACAAACCAGGTTCTATAGCCTTGGATGGCTATTGGTCTACTACAGAATGAAATGGCAACCTACTGCGGGAATAAAATCTTCCTCGACAGTCATGTATCTTTCGATACATGATCGCCTAAGCGTGTATCACGCATGACACATAACTGGAATAATTTAATATCTATAAAGAAAAGAAAATATAGTGAATAATGCTACTTATGTTGTGAATAAAGACGCTTATATAGGTTTGACTGCGTATTTGATGACATAAAACGCGCTTTTTTCATAAAAATTGGCTCAAACATATTCTCAGGTTTTTATCTGCAAAGGTATGTGGTACGCTAAACTGTACTAAACTAAACAAATTATTCATAATATTTCATGGTAAAATACAAGGGGTTACTGGGTACGGAAATATTACAAAACAGAAACATTACTAGGGAACGAGAATAAAAGAAGAGTAATCTATCTACTGATAGACATTGGATTTAAATTTTTGAAGATTAAAGTTGACTGAAAAGCATGAAACCGGAAAGGAGTTCCACAAGTGAAAGGTGCGAGAAAAGAAACTGATAGCATAGAACCTGTAAATTAATGAGACTTTAAATCCACTCTTAAATCCATAAGGTCGAGGTATACTCTATTGGAGATATTATTACATCTTGTCGAAATTTAGCTTAGTAACAGCCAAACTCGGCGCAAAAAAAGGTTGGGAAACCTTGTCATTACGTCCAATGACGGGAATCCCGCGTAACAGAGACCTGAAACCATCAATATACAACCATAACAAGCGAGATAAAGAAGAAGGAAAAACCACTTGAAATAGCTATAAAATTTATTGAGGGAAAAGAAAAAAAAAATAAAATGAGAGGGGAAAAATAGTCTGATGTTAAAGTTCACTGGTACAACTTGAAAATAACTGCCAAAAACATCCCTTTGGCGAGCCCTTAAAAAAGACTCCAATAACAGTTCAGAGAGAGTGAAAGAGGTAGAGAGATAGCAGAAAGAGGGGAAAAATTAGACTTACTGTTCAAAAAAAAAATAGCTTTAGTATTTTTTTAAGTAGCTGGGCAGAAAGGTTTTTAGATATTTTTTGAGTTGCTCTCCTTGGAAGATAAGCAAGCTTCCTGTTAAAAATAAATGCAGACTTGTTTTTTCAAACTTTCTCTGCGACACAAATTCAACTTCTAGAGACAACTTAGAAGATCTTTTTTTCACATACTTTTTTTCACGTCAGAATTTCGTCCACTAATAGGACAAAATAACTCCTCGAAAGAAGGTAGCTTTTCAATCGCTTAATTTTGACTTTTTTTCTCTCTTCGACCCGATTGTCGAAAGAAGACTTCCTTGAGAATGTTCTATTATAAATTCTCTTTACAATAATTTCTTTAGCTGATTTTTTAGATATGTCTTTACTGACTTGTTCTTTGGTTGCTGAACTATAATCCACTTGATTACTTGAACAGACTTGACTTCACTTGTCTAGAGAATAAGCTTTTTCCACACGGCGAACACACTTGTTCTTTATCTTCAATTCTCTTAGACAAATATTCTTGACAGGTCTTTTATGAATGTTTTCCTTGTCAGAGCAACAACAGGTTATCTTCAAGCAGGTTTCCTTTTCGTCGCAAGACAAGACGACTTATCGTCTCCACACTGTGGAGCCCTTTTTTCTGCTACTACTGACTAGATTCCTCTAATCTAGACGAAAACAAGCGGGGAAATCACGTACGGCCAATCGTTAGACACGATTTCGCCACGTGACACAGCAGTTCTTACACTGCACACAGGGGGAAAAGGAGAGGAGGAAGGAAAGTAAGAGAGATAGAAAGATAGATACAGAAATTAAATTTCTGACAATCTAGGAAGTCGAGTTTGTTGTCGTTTTCTCGCTCCATTGTGAACTGTATCAATGATCTTATTGTGTTCACATGGTCCAGTAGTAGCTGGACGTCTTCCTGGTGTGGCCAAAGTATGCAGGTGTCATCTATGTATCTCAGCCATACGAAGAGGCACATGGAACGAGAACAATCTACCCGGTGGACGAAATAAAGGATTCGATTCGAAATTCCAAGAAGAAGGCCGGAGCGTACAACGGCCGAAACGTTGTGAATATGGCAATGAAGATAACAGTCCGAATAATGTAAATAATGCATGTAATCATACCTCATCTCAGAGATATAGACAGATGAAGAATTCAATACTTGAAATGAAGAATAATTAAAGATGCCGCTCCCCTGAAAAGTAAACATTCATTACCATTACCAGATCGTAAGATGCCGATTTCACTAGACACCTTGAAAGTATCCAATGCGGTGTACTCAAAAATGCGGAGCCCTCGAAAATTTGGGCCCCGTAGTATTTGCTACTTTTGTCAACCCGGCATTGGTGCAGAGACAAAGGAAAATAAATTAGGATATCTATTCGAAATATTAATCAAAAACGTGTTTCACCTGTGTATGAAGATAAAACAAACAAAACAAAAATAAACGAGTCGATCCTGGAGGAGATGGGAACAAAGAGGCAGTTAGTCGTGACCCTAAGGAATCGAAAACTGCAATACTTTGGCCATGTCAATGATTATTGATATTACATAGCAATACAGCAATTTTTTTGTTTCTAATACATTTTTCCTGTTTTTTAATACTTTGCTTGGCTTCTGGAATGCATCTTTGGATACTGCAATGCATGTTCAGATTTCGGGGTTGCATTTTCCATTCTCTTCCCAGATATTTACA